TCAAGATGCATCAGAAAATTCATACAGGTGACAGATCCTATGTGTGTATTGAATGTGGACATGCCTTCATTCAGAAGACACACTTGATTGCTCATCAACGAATTCATACTGGAGAAAAACCATATGAATGCAGTATCTGTGGGAAATCCTTCATTTCCAAGTCACAGCTCCAAGTACATCAACGAATTCACACAAGAGTGAAGCACTATACATGCAGTGAGTATGGAAAGGACTTCAACAGTAGTTCCAACCTCATTACACATAAGAAAGTTCAAATTAGAGAGAAATCTTCCATATGTTCTGAATGTGGGAAGGCCTTTATGTACAGGTCAGAGTTGATTATACATCAGAGAATTCACACTGGAGAGAAACCTTATGAATGCAGTGACTGTGGAAAAGCCTTCACTCAGAAGTCAGCACTCACAGTGCACCAGAGAATTCATAGAGGAGAAAAATCATATGTATGCATAAAATGTGGGCTGGCCTTTATCCAGAAGGCACACTTGATTGCACATCAAATAATTCATACTGGAGAGAAACCTTATAAATGTGGTCACTGTGAGAAATTCTTTACTTCCAAGTCACAACTCCATGTGCATAAGCGAATTCACACAGGAGAAAAACCCTACATGTGCAGTAAATGTGGGAAAGCATTCACCAACAGGTCAAATCTTATTACACATCAGAAAACTCACACAGGAGAGAAATCCTATATATGCTCTAAGTGTGGGAAGGCCTTTACTCAGAGATCAGATTTGATTATACATCAAAGAATTCATACCGGAGAGAAACCATATGAATGCAGTAACTGTGGGAAAGCCTTCACCCAGAAGTCACACCTCAATATACACCAGAAAATCCATACTGGAGAGAGACAATATGAATGCCATGAATGTGGGAAAGCCTTCAACCAGAAATCAATCCTCATTGTGCATCAGAAAATTCATACAGGAGAGAAACCCTATGTATGTACTGAGTGCGGAAGAGCCTTCATCCGGAAGTCAAACTTTATTACTCATCAGAGAATTCATACTGGAGAGAAACCTTACGAATGCAGTCATTGTGGGAAGTTGTTCACCTCCAAGTCTCAGCTTCTGGTGCATCAGCCAATTCACACAGGAGAGAAGCCCTATGTGTGTGCTGAGTGTGGGAAAGCCTTTAGTGCCAGGTCAAATCTGAGTAACCACCAGAAAACTCATACTGGGGAAAAGCCCTACATTTGTTCTGAATGTGGGAAGACCTTCAGACAGAAGTCAGAGTTGATTACACATCATAGAATTCATACTGGAGAGAAACCTTATGAATGCAGTCATTGTGGGAAGTTGTTCACCTCCAAGTCTCAGCTTCTGGTGCATCAGCCAGTTCACACAGGAGAGAAGCCATATGTGTGTGCTGAGTGTGGGAAAGCCTTTAGTGCCAGGTCAAATCTGAGTAACCACCAGAAAACTCATACTGGGGAAAAGCCCTACATTTGTTCTGAATGTGGGAAGACCTTCAGACAGAAGTCAGAGTTGATTACACATCATAGAATTCATACTGGAGAGAAACCTTATGAATGCAGTGACTGTGGGAAGTCTTTCACTAAGAAATCACAGCTCCAAGTGCATCAGCGAATTCACACAGGAGAGAAACCTTATGTGTGTGCTGAGTGTGGGAAGGCCTTCACCGACAGGTCAAATTTGAATAAACACCAGACAACACACACTGGAGACAAACCCTACAAGTGTGCAGTCTGTGGGAAAGGCTTTGTTCAGAAATCAGTGCTCAATGTGCATCAGAGTATTCACACTTGTGAGAAACTGTGAAAAAAACATCACTGAGGACAGTTCTGATTGTACATTATTGAATCCATGCTGCAGAAAACATGTATATTATTGTAAGTAGAAATGTCCAAATCAGAATGTCACACATTACTTTTCAAAAGAGGACCTCTGGGAAGGCACTGAATGAGTCAGGAGACCCTTCCCACATTGTGAACAGCTTCATTAATGTTTGGGGCATTTATCCTGAGCATAAAATGAGTAAAAAATATGATGGAACACTGTTACCAAATTCTTCATAGAAAAGATTATATTGTCATGTAAATGATAATCCTGTTTACTGTGGATTAGGAACACTGCCAACAAATTGAATGGTAAAACAACATCATGTATACAGTAGTGACAAATCCTGAATTCTCAGAGTTGCAGAACACATGGTCTAACAGAACTGTGGGTGTTTTTCATTCTTCTGTTGAATCTAACACAGTTGTGCGTGTCCAGTCCCCCACTGAGTATTTCTATTATGACAGACATACCACAATTTTTAAAAAATTATGACAGACATACCACAATTTTTAAAAAATGATTTACATATAGAGACAAATTTCAGGGTGTCTGTTGACTCTCCATTGTCATCTTTCACTATGACTTGTGACCTCTCTCATAGCCACTAATAGTGTCTTTGAGCCTCACAAGCCCTCAGCACACAGTCTTCTGACCCCCAGCATAGTGTCCTGCGACCTCCCACTGCCCTCAGGAGAGCTTCTGATGTAAGAATTTTTAGGTCACTCAGTGATCTTAAGTCTCCCGTCTGCTGTCACATTCTTCCAACTCATTTCCCTTCCTTAATGATCTGACTTTCATAATAAATTTTGTGCCTTTAGGGCCTTTGCATTTGCAGTGCCCTCTGCAAAGAGTACAGTTTTTCATTTTATCTTTGTGGCCTGCTCCCTCATATCTTTCCTCCAATAACACGTCCTCACAGGATTTCCCTAAGCTTTTCTGCCTGCTGAGTTTAAAATCCTAGCCCCTCACCATCCCTTCTTTATTTTTATCCTGAACACTTACCGCCATGTTGCCCTGTATATTTTGCTTATTTTATCTATTACTCCCACATAGTGATGTTTCCCCTGTTCTGTTCACCACTAAGCCTAGATCCATGCCTGCCATACAGCAGGCATTTCTAAATGCACATTGTGGAGTGTTGACCATTGCTCATCACATGACTTTCTTCTCATCTTTCTATATTGTAACATAAGAGGCTGCAACAGGGAGATGCAACCTGCCTAAAACACACCAGGCTTTTTTACCTCCTGGATTTACCTGTGCAGTGTCCGTTTCTGGCCCTAAAGCTACAAGTCATTGTAAACCTTTTGACCTGATGCCAACCCATTTAAAGAAGAGAAAACTAAGATACAGGATATTCCATGTGGATGCTTGCTTCCAGGATTTTCTGCCATGTTTCCAAAATCCCATAGTCCAAAACGTGATTGAAAATCCCAGCTCCAACGTGATTGAAGAAAGGGCCACTCTGTCTGCTCTACATGCACAGCTCTGCCCTGACCCAGCTGCCTTTGACAAGGCCCCATCCAACCTAGAATCCAACCTATAAACCTGCTTATCTTGCCCTGATAAGTGTACCTGAAGCCAATAGTATAGAGGGGCCAAGAGCAAACAAGTGGATCTTCATGGGAACTTGGGTGTCCAATCCAGGATTGGCAGCAGTAGCCTCACAGATGCTGGCAGATGTTCTGATCGAATGCTCAGCTGGTGGGAGGCCCCACTGGAACTAGAAAAATGGTTTGTCTGCGGTCAGTCCATTGGTAATGCTGGGAGTGGGAAATAGCATGTGCAGAGATGGTCTCACCTTTGTGAAGGACATCATGGCATGGTGAGCATGAGGGGCCAAGGGACAGAACATGGCCAAGAGAGCAGAGCTGGGGACTTCCCCTTTAACTCCCCAATCCCTTTTTTGGCAGTGTGAAATATTTGGGGGGAAAAAAGCAAAAATAAAAAAAAGTGACATTACCCCATCTTAGAAGTGACTGCTGATCTATCATTAGATCTTCTTCATCTCACCCTTTTCCATCTCATAGACTTGTATCATCTTTTAACTCTATTTTTCCACAAACTTTTTGAAGCACTCTTGTATATATACATATATATGACTTTATTTTTTAGAGCAGTTTTAGATTTATAGCATATGTGGGAGGAAGGTACAGAGATTTCCATATATCCTCTACCTTCACATATGCACAGCCTCACCCATTACCAACATCCCCCACCAGATTGGGACATTTGTTACTATTGATGAACCTACATGGACACTTATTATCACCCGAAGTCCATAGTTTACCTTAGGGTTCACCTTTGATGTTTGTTTTATGAGTTGGGACAAATACAGTCATCCCTCAGCACCTTAGGGTATTGGTTCCAGGAACCCCCACAGATACCAAAATCCACAGATGCTCAAGTCCCTTATATAAAATAGCACATTTTGCATATAGCCTATGAACATTTTCCCTTGTACTTCAAATTATCTCTAGATTACATATAATGCCTAGTACACTGTAAATGCTGTGTAAATAGTTGTTTTACTGTATTGCTTTTTATTTGGGTTTTTTTTTTTTTTTGCTTCTTTTCCCCCAAAATATTTTTATACACAATTGATCGAATCCAAGATGCAGAACTGTGTATATGGATGGACAACTTTTGTAATAACGTGTATCCACTATTGAAATATCATACAGAGTAGTTAACTGCCCTCAAAAATCCTCTGTGTTCTGCCTATTTCATCTTTCCTGCCCCCCCCACCCCCCGCTCCATTCCCTGTCACCTTTCTGCTGTCTCCACAGTTTTGTCTATGTCATATAGTTGGAATGCAGCCCTTTGAGACTGGCTTCTTTCACTTAGCAACATGCATTTAAGTTTCCTCCATATCTTTATATGGCTTGATAGCTCATTTCTTTTTAGTGCTGAACAATATTTTGTCGTCTGGATGTACCTGTTTAACATCTTGGTTGTTTTCAAGTTTTGGTCATTATGAGTAAAGCTGCTATAAACATCTGTGTGCAGGTTTTTGTGTGAACATATCAGAAGTATTTTTAAAACCAGACTTATTAAGCTGCAATCTACATACAGTAATATTCGCCATTTTCAGTGTACAGTGTGAGAGTTTTGACAAATGCATACAATCGTGCAATCAGTACCACAATCAAATCAGGTAGCAGTTCCCTCACTCCCCGAAATTCCCTCCTATCCCTTTTTAGTCAATTGCTTTCTCGACTTCCAGCCCTTGGTAATAACTGGACAGTTTTCTTTCTCTATAGTTTTGCCTTTTCCACAGTGTTGTATAAATGGTGTCATACTCGTTGTGTGTATAAATATCCTTTTGAATCTGACTTCTTTCATTTAATGTGATGTATTTGAGATTCATCCATATGATTGTATGAGATACAAATAGAAAATAAGGTGATAAATAATAAGGCCCCAAATCATTAATTATCAGAAAAATGCAAACTAAAACCACAATGAGATACCACTACACACATTTGGCAATGGCTAAAAAAAAAAAAAAGAAAACCATAGTACCAAGAGTTGGCAAGGATGCAGAGCGATGGAAACTTTCATGTCTGGTGGTCACAGTCATTTGGCTGTTATGCCAAGATGAGCATAAAATGCTGTGTGCACTCTTAACAAAAGTTTGGCAGCTCCTTACACAGTTAACCATACACTTATCATATAACCCAGCTTTCCCACTGCTAGGTATTTATCCTAGAGAAATGAAAAATTAGGTTCCCAGAAAACCTGTATTCAAATGTTCATAGCAACTGTATAATTGCTAAAAATTTAGAAACAACCCAAATGTACATCAGTGGGTGAATGATTAAACAAATTGTATTACATGTACAATGGAATACTACTTGGAAAGAAATGATTTATTGACACTGGCTACAGAATTGAAGAACCTCGAAAGTACTGTTATGCTTTACCATGTGATAATCTAATTTACATTTGATAAAAGATTATTAGATACCAGATTATAGATTTATATATTATAATTTTAGATATGCACATCATTACATAGCATAGAAATATTATTTATGTACTATATATTATATGTCACATTATAGTATTGTATATTCCTTTCCACAATAAAATAGTTTCCATTTTATATAGTGTATAGTATCTATTGTATGATTGTATATTGGATTATGTAATATTTATGTTTTATAAATCAAGCTTTTACATAACATTTTAATTATTTCTATGTTCACAGATTTGCATTTGAATGTTCATAGTGTAAAGTTATAACACTAATAAAAGGGATTGTATGGTCCAGAAACCGTGTAGTTGTAAGTGGTCAACATTATTGTTATTTGTCAGCAATCCCAATTCTGCTATTTTAACATTAAGGAAGCTTGCTCTGGCTTTGAGCCTTTGCACGAACTATTTCTCTGATTCTGCTTCTCCAGTGCCCATGAAGCTTGCTGCCCTCTCCCATCTTTGGAGAGTCCCTACTACCCCCATTCTATCCCTGCCCTTGTATCTGAAGTATCATAGCACTTGGGGGTCACTTCCTTATGCCTTATTTTCTACTGTCTTAGAAAATAAGGTACTTGTGCTGCAAGTACCACCATCTGACCTGATACTAAATATTTCTTTTTTGGGCTTTACTTTTTTTTTTCATTTTTATTATTTATTATTAGCATATCCATTATTACAAATTGTGATTTTTCTTTATGCCCTTCAGCTGACCTATCCCTCCCCTAACTCGCTTCCTTCCCCTGCCACATCTCTAGTATCCTTAGGTTTGTTCTCTCCTTCTGAAAGTTTAATGTATTGTTACAGTCTCTTCTTTCTTTCTTCTTTCCTTCCTTCCTTCCTTCTTAGCACCCAGTTATGAGTGACAACATGCAATATTTCTCTTTCTTTGCCTTATTTCACTTAATTTTCTCCAGATTCATCCATGTTGCTGCAAATGGCAGTATTTCATTCTTTTTTATGGCTGACTAGTATATACCATTGTGTGTGTATACCACATTTTCCCTACCTAGTTGTCCATCAATGGACACCTAGATTGGTTCCATATTTTGGCTGCTGTAAATAGAGCTGCAATGAACATGAGAGTGCAGCTATCCCTTCAATGTGATGATTTCCATTCCTTTAGATAAATACCCAGTGGCGGGATTGCTGGATCATAAGGACAAAAGCCATATGATTATCTCAATAGATGTAGAAAAAGCATTCCACAAAATTCAACATCCCTTCATGATAAAGACTCTCAGGAATTTAGGTTTAGAAGGAAATTATCTCAACACAGTAAAAGCCATTTACTACAAACCAATCACCAATATCATCCTGAATGGGGAAAAGCTTCCTTAAGAACAGGAACAAGACAACAATGTCCACTCTCACCACTCCTATTTAACAGTATTGGAAGTACTAGCCAGAGCATCAGGCAAGAGAAAGAAATAAAGGATATTCGTATTGGAAAGGTCAAAATCCAACTGTCTTTCTTTGCAGATGACATGCTCTTATGTGTAGAAA